AATCCCAGCCCTCAGGAGGCAGAGTCAGGCAGATCTCTGTGAGTTTGAGACCAGCCTGGTCTACAAGAGCTAGTTCCAGGACAGCCTCCAAAGCCACAGAGAAACCCTGTCTTGAAAAACCAAGAAAAAAAGAAAGAAAGAAAATAAAAATCAGTCTCCAGGACAGCCATGCAAAGGTTTTGCTAACATTGCATTTTAGTGTCCTGGTTTTATAAATATAAAAAAATTGAGGTGTGAGATATAAATCATTGTAGTAATCAGAGCAAATGTTGGCCTTGAAAAGTTGACAATGAAGATGGACTAATGATCTTCTAAGTTGGCATAACTAAAAGCCAAAAATATGGAAGATGGCCTTTAGAATGAATGGTTTATGAGAATCAACCATAATAGTTTTATATTACTTTAGAACAAATTCTTCCTTGTAGAGCAGCACTGTTTCAACACTTGTCCATGTCTAAGGTCCTACTATTCCCAAGGGTTATTTCCCTTAGAAGATGCTGCCTTCCAAAAAATCAACACTCTAGTTTTTTAAGATATATTCATAATACACACAGTTTCAGATTATAAAGTACATTCACAAGTATTGTAGTGACAGTCGACCCTCTCTAATCCTCAGTGAAATATGCAAGAAGGACACCACAGCAATCAGTTTGTTTCACACTGATGCACAATCTGCCATTCTAAGCAAGAATAGCATGTGGGATGGAGGCTGCTGACACCAAATCCTGAGCTCCCTGAACTATGACAGGCCTGTGTGTGAATAGCTAGAATGCCTAAACGCAGACACACTGCTTAACACTTTTCTAGGGCAAGGTTTATATGTATGAGTATCTCTTCAAAGTTGAAGTCTCCACTGATAATGTCTACATATCTCGATTTAACTGCCTCTTCCCCGAAACATCCTAGGAGAACACTGCTTTGCTGAACCACCACTCTCTGTGTCTCCTGTGGCCATCATTCCTCACAGGGACTTTGAACCCCTATCTTCCAGACTACCTGATTGACTGTCCCTGATTGGATTCTCAGTTGATGGGGCCTTTCTACAGTTACTGTGATTGCTTCTTTGCTAATTTGTTTTTTGTTTCTTCCTTCTCTCAACTCCATTATCAAGAAGGTTATTTTTGTCTTCCCAGTAACCTCATTAATGTAGGATGGTGACAGATAAGGACAGAACAGACACCAACATGGAGCAACTCAGTTCTTCAGGGCTCCTCCTCATTCTTTCCAATTGCTCTTTCTTAAGAAGGATCATAAACAGTTTTTGGTTTTTCTTTTTAAAGAAAATTCTTTGAAAAGAAAGTTTATTAATTTCATCAATACCATCCTCATTAGTGGGAACAAACAACTAAATGCATGTGATGCATGAATACTCTTCAAGTTTAGAATTATTGCCTTATGTAGTCAACCTCAACTCAACTCAAATCTTGACTGAAAATTCTTTTAGAATGAGATAATATCTTGCTACCCATGTTTTCTTTTTTTTCTTTCTTTTTATCTTTTCTTTTTTTTTAATGTGTGTGTATGACCTAGGACTCCCTCTGTTGACTTGACTGGTCTCAAACTCATAGATCTGCCTGCTTCTGCCTCCCAAGTGCTGGGATTAAGGGCGTGCATATCACCTCCCAGCTATGTTTTCATTTGTTAACTAAACTCATTTGTTCTTCTAAAGTTCATCAAAAAGATCCATGTGTTTCCTGAATCGGAGTTGCCTTGTCTTTTCATGTCCTCTACTTGCCTTAAATGGACACATTTTCTGGAAAATAAGATGTGATGAGACAGTAAGAAGAACAAAGGAATGAGCACCTTGCCATCCCAGGTGAAGAATGCTTAGAAACAAACTAGGAGGTGCTCTCTGTGCCATACTTCCTTTTAATTAGTTACCTTCTTCTGGATAGGTCTATTTAGAAGGAAAGGGAAATGAAGACACCGGTGGGTCTCTAGATATATTTTTCTGAACACACTTTTATATATAAATTAACTTAAGCTTTGTGTATGACAGTTTAACGTCCTCCTCCGAAAAGATTCCCCCCCCTTATCTTGGAAGTGGGGGGTATAAGAAAAATGATTGCCCTTCTCCTACCCTCTTCCAACATGACTCAGAATGTGCCAGGAGAATGATGGATGATTACCGCAGGCCACCTCTAGGGAGCTGACAGTGTCACCCTGTGGGGTCAGGCAGCAACATAGAGGTGCTGTGTCTGATACACCATATATCTTATGTTGAAAGACTGAACATCCATTGGTAATTTTAATTGCTTAAATCCTCTTGCTACTGAAAGACCAACATTATTGTCACCATTCAGTGCTCAGAAAATTAACCTGCAATGCACTATTCCTAATGTTTGACTCTTAAAAATCTACTGAATTCCAGAGTGCGGAGAAGCAAAGGGTTCATTTTGTGCTGGTTGAACGGGGTGTCCTTGCTCTGACATTCTTTGCTTTCCCTGTCTCCGAGGCACCTGTGGCACAACAAGCTCTGGAGGCTTCAGGTTGCCTCTCTAGTGTGATCTCATAGCTGTCTTTCCTAACTAAATTGCACAAAGTAAGAACGTTTTACTTGCAGATATCTCTACATCATCTTTGTATACAGCCATCACCATAAAAGTGTCTTTTACAGACTTTGGAGATTCCCCCATGAAGGGCCTCACACTCCCTGGAGAGTGGTGTGGGGATTGGGTTGGGGGATTGCAGGGGAGTTGGTGGGGGGACGGGGAAGAGGGGAGGGAGAGAGAACTGGGATTGACATGTAAACCAAGCTTGTTTATAATTTAATTTTAAAAAGTGTAGTTTAGTCAGTCCAAATAAAAGGTGAAGAAATGCCAAAGAGAAACCCTGTGACAGTTTTCAGTCTAGTACACACAAATGCTTTCAAATCCTCATGACAACATATGACACAGCTCACAAAATCAGTCACAGTCATTTCTCTGATTATGAGAGACATCTTGAAGATGAGCTTGATAAAGATGAGACTGACTATACCATGTAATTTTGGTACACTGACCACATCGTAAGCTTTGCTGTTCAAAATCAAATGAGACAGATTGAAAAACATACTGATACGGAGCTATCAAAAGCCTAGTACTCCTGAGGTATGAAGATTAGTAGAAGGCATAACAGAATAGCAGCATGTCAAAACTGACAGTTGTCCACTTGTCTTCTTTTTTCTCTCCATTTTCATTCAGTTATCCACCACAAAAAAAAAAAGAAAAGAAAACTATGACAGAGTTGAAGCTAGAAGGAAAAGGATCTAGCTAAATCCTCTTCCATGAGTCATGTTTCCTTTTGCCTGAATTCTGTCCTTCTTCATCACCTAATACTCCTCTTCCTTGGCCTGGTTTCTAAGTGTTATGCTACACCTACAGCCAGTTACGCTTGCTCCCTATTTACAGCACACATTATAAACTAGGATCCACATATCATGGAGATTATACAATGTTTTTCTGCCTGAGTTTTGGTCGCCTCACCTAACGGCATGCTTTCCAAGTCCATTCATTTTCCTGATTTTATTTTTTTCATAAAACCCCTGGGGAAAACAGTAGACTTTATATATATATGTGTTCTCTGAAAAAGAAATTAGGAAAAAATAACTAATCCATAATAGTTCTAAGTCAAACTCCACTTATAATTGGCATCCTCAGTTTTCAATATACCATCCCATCAATTTTGTACCTCGATATATTTGGTTATAGCTTCTCATAAAGACTTTGATACCTGTCATAATATAAATCATTCTAAATCAAAAGGTGTTTGCTTAAGCAGGACACTACATTTTAAATACTTCACAGATGTGGTGTTAATGTATTTTTTTAAAATTTGGTACTGATTATATAATGTAACAAGAAAATTATTGAAATTAAGAAGATATCCATAATCTAAGTATTAGAATGAGAAGTTTCTACAGTCACCATTACATCTCCTGTTGCCCAATAAGGAGACAAAAAGATCAATTATGCCATACAAAACTCAGACCTTCTGCTTCCAGCTTCTACCTTGTAATCAGATGTACAGGTTTTGTTCTTTCTAGAGTGAAAGACAATTTAGACGCTTACTCAGTTGAAAAAAATGGCTCTTATGTAATCCTTATTATCACATCTCTTCTTGTCTTCACTGGTGGTGGTAATGAACACTTCATTCCCAATAGTTAATTCCAAATTCCTTTTAAGTCAACAAAATCACTTCCTCTTAAAACAGGTTTTGTTCCTTGTTTGTTTGGTGACAGGAGGATTCGTGATTGATTTTGACTGGTCCTGATGCAAAACTTACCATCTTTTGATCATTTATTTATGAATATGATATAAGACCTAAGTGCAGAATAAAACACTCTGCTAGACCTTCAGTAAAAATACGATTAGTGCACATTTAAAGGAAAAGGTTAGTGTAGACTAATATATAATCACTATAAGTCACTTTACCATGATTGCCAATAAACTGCTTAATTTGTCACACATCAAAATATTCTAATAACCAACACAGTGTGAAGGCCAATGTGTATTAGCTGTTAGTCATTTTAATTACACAGGGATGGTGTCGTTGTTTTCCTCAGGAATTTTTCCTCCTCTCGATCTCATAATAAAGAAAACAAATAAAATACCCAGCAAAAAAACAAAGTGTACCTCCATTTTTAAAGCCTGTCCCATACCCCTCTACAGCTCCCACAATGCACGTGGTGGTATTTCAATACCTACTGTTCATTTAGTGGATTAGCCTTTCCAGCTATTAGCAACTGCGCCCCACCTTCTCAGGTCTGCACAGAGGCGAGTGAACTTCTCAAGAATAAACCTGATATTTCTAGGGCAAAAATAACACCTCCAAGTTGGCATGCGATTTAACACTTTTTCCAGACGAGGTGGGATATGTTAGCGCGAGGTGCTTACGATCCAAGGTGAGTTTTGCAATATGTTTCAGGTTCACTTTTGAGGTCTTGGAAGGAAATGGACCTGTGTTAAGTGACTTTCCATTTGGGCATTTTCCTAACAAAAGGATAAAGAAAGATAACCTACCTTTATGTGACAGGCGTAGTCTGGGGTAGGCGGGGTCCGCGGTGTGACATGGGGTCCAGAGCTCCAGCAGGTGACCCCACAGCAGCAAGGTGAGGATGCGTCCGGCAGCTGCCATGGTGTGTGCTGGCTCTCCCGTGGCCGCAGCAGCCTCACTTAAAGGCAGGACTGAGTTTTACTTAGGACTTCCCTCCAGGGCCAACAGCGGGCGACAGGCTTTGTCACAAGCAGAAGAGGTTGTCATCAGAAAACACCATTCCCAAGTGCCCTTTGCCAGGCAGTACTTGGATCCGCAAAGCCTTTCTGTCCTCGGGACTGGTGGTTTGGAAACGCGGAGCGAGAGGGCTTTGCAAGGAGCGCCTCTTAAGAGCCAGGTCCCGGCTGAAGCTGTCGCCGTCACCCAGCCGCGGGCGATAGGAGGAGGCTGTGGCTGACTTCAGTCTCCCCGCCAGCTATTCATTGAGAAAACAGCCGGGAGCAGACCAGCAGCCTCCCCCAGCTCTTCGCCCAGCCTCCTTCAGCCTCCCAGAAGTCAGCCTCCTGCACTGACTTGCCGAGCAGCCAGTTCCCCTTCGCCTCTCCTCTCGCTAATTAAAAGCAAGAAGAAGTGCCACTTGCGCCAGGAGCGCGGGATCCACCCAGCGGGGATGCCGCCTGTCAGCGCGCTGTTTACAGGAAAGTTCAGGCAGGGTTGAGCCCGCGCGCGTTTCTAGGAAGTGTCTCCAGCCCACGTGCCCCGCTGCATCTCCGCGGCTGTGACGCGCTCGCCGGGCTCGGGAGACAGGTCCTCACCCTGACGGGGCGTGGCCAGGAGAACCTGCATAATACCCCGATTATTTAAGAATGTGAAAGGCTGGGATGTGGCCTCGGGAAGGACTTTTAAAAGCTCCCACACCAAGAGGGATCCCTGAATAAATCCACTCTCTAAATCCTCTGCCACCGCCCAGTAGCCAAATTAATTTGGTCACTCTTGCCACGGGCTCTTGTTCACAATTCAAGCTTTCTTGTTCTGCTTTGGTCTTGCAAATGTTACTTTTGACTCTTTTGAGGAAAGTGTTTTTCAAGAGCCTGGGGTGGGGGGGGGTTGCCATTTTCCCCCACTGTTTCACAAACGGGTTAGTATGAAAGAAGGAATTTGCCTTAGATTCATTTTTTATAAAGCGAAAAATAAAACTCACTTCAAATTTAAGAGAACGTAAACGTTGAGGTACTTGTCTGCATCAGGTGCCCGTGATAAAGTTGAAACTGTCTACCCGGTGGGTCTGTGTAACAGACATTAGAGAACTCAGGGTGTGAGCATCTTAGAACTCAGTGCTGAGTACTCCGAGTTTATTTTCATGACACCATGTTTGTGTAAATAAGATTAACACAATAGGTCAACTTCTCAGTGTATTTTCAATCAGTTTCAAAAGCTAAAGCAAACATTTTAGAGCTGCTGGCGTGGAAATTAATTGTATTATTTCAAGATAGCAATAAGCTGCAATAGAAGTTTGGTCTGACAGCTGAGAGTTAAATGGTAAACAAATGATATCAGCTATGAGGACTTTTTCTGATTCTTTATCCTACATAGCAGTGGCTGTGGGCAGGATTTCAGAACTGTGTGCTTCAAATTTATGTGATTATAACAAAAAGGTACCTTACTTAGGTCATTCCAATAGCCTACATTACATATAAGCAAAAAGTACAACCCGACATTCTTTACCCATGTTTAAAGGATGATACATTCTTATACAAGCAGAGTATATTTAGAGAAATGTAAATGTCAGTGGAGATTATAAATAATTAGATTTCCCAGGTTTACAAAAGAAAACAAACTCTAAACAGTATTTAACTATGAAACAATACGAAGCATGTAGACTCTTAACATGGGGTGGTCTCCAGAGGCACTTGCATGTTTTAAAAGCCAGGCTGATGAGCTACAGGTCGAACTATGATATGTGTAACTTCACAACCTTCTTTCACTGTATTCCAGAATGGATGTAACCACAGCATAGGTGGCAACTTTATCAGCATTAGCTAAGGGCAGGGTTCTAGGGAAAGAAAGTAAACGTAGGGTCTGTGCCCTTTCCTGGAATGAATACCCTTATTCAACTGACATTTGCTTATGATTGCAGTATGCTCTGGATTTGCACGGGTTAAACAATACTAGCATCACTGCAACTTCATTAAGACACAAAGTCAGTGTGGGGGAATAAACACCATTGATGCTAAACTTTTTCTTCAGATTTACATATCACCCTCAAAGTGGCTGCAGGGCATAGACCACAGTAACCAATTCCTTGGGCACCACAAAACATGCTAGTTCATCTTGTTACCATTGCATGTTCCTTCTAATCCTCTGTATGGCCTTTTACCTTTCTCTGTGTGTGATAGGAAACATACAGATAATGCAGAATAAAAAAATAAATAAAAATAATGACTGTAAACTAAACATCCAGAACTTTTGAGACTCTCAGATTTCTCCATGTGTATTTAGACACTCATTTGAAAAGTCTTTGAGAAAAAATTGACCATTCTCATTGTGAAAGAAACTACCAATAACCCTCAGAAGTGGTTCTGCCACTCAAATTATCATTTGGACATTGGAATTATTTTGAGTAAATACATATAAAACAATAATAATGTAGACATAACCAGGACATATAAGAATTAATACTTGGGGCAATTACCATTTACTTTGGAAGACATTGGATTGGAAAAAAGTGAAAAAACAAAATGATCAATGAGTACAGTATCTTTGTGGATTTCTGGTCTCTTGAATACACAGCAGTATCTGGTGATTCCATGTTTGATTTGATATGCTACAAGGGCATCAGTCTAGACAATAGAAAGACATCATAGAACAAAACAGGTAACCCATGCCATAAAAAAAGTTATTTTTGTCAAGTCAAATGCCCCATGGTGTTCCCTTGAAGTTAATTTTACTGTATGGATAACCTCCATCTGGAAGTAAAAGGTAAGGGTAGAGGCTGGGAAATGAAGAAGACCAGAAGTTTCTGGTCCTTCCAATTGGTATAGACACATTAATCACTGGATCTCCAATTTTATTAGTGGAAGAAAAACTGGCCTCTAACACAATCCTTCCCAGTATGTACTCCGGTCCATCTTGTGAAACATGTGGAATAGTTGTTAAAAGTACAGAATTCCTGTTACACTCCTGGCTTTCAATTTGGTTTAAGTTTTACATATTAAATTTGGTTTACACAAATTCCTTTCTCCAGTATTGTCTAAACATTAGACATGAGTATGCTTCATTTGCCATTTTTATTATTATAACCTGGACAATTAAATCCAACAAATTTATATAATATAAAACAATTACCTCATACTACGATCTTTCAAGAAAATGCCAGATCAAATACGAATAGTGAACAGATATCTCTGCAGAGTTTAAAACTTATCTTGTGTGCCTTGAGAGACTATACTTTGGTGATGCTACCAGGAATCTCCCATCTTTCTTTCTGGGCATATGGAACACAATCTTCCTTGTCTCTTGGCAATTAGTGAAGCCATTTGCCTAATTCTGACCAAAGAAATATGAGAAGTGTAGGTATTATATATAACCTAAGGCAGTGATTAGGTACTCCTAGAAATGTTGCTTTCTCGGGGCTTTTCTGTGGCAAGACCTGAGGAATAAACAATGAATGCAGGGGTAGGAAGTTGAAGCATCTTGGATTACTGAATCATCATATTGGAGGCTGCTGCCTGAGAAAGTTACTCAGAGACAAAACAGATGTTATGTGAGCAGGAATCAAAATCTTTTTCTAAGCTATTTGGGTGGTTTTGTGTGTGTGTGTGTGTGTGTGTGTGTGTGTGTGTGTGTGTGTGTGTGTGTGTGAGATTACCTTGTCAAATAACACAGACTCACTTGGTAATATGTGTACATGCTTTACTTACTCTGCTTTGCGAATCATGCTCTCAGACAATTCATCAGAAAGTCACTATCCTTCCTGTCTGTCACTGGCATCAGCAGAAGTCACTAGGAAAGCTGGAGAGAGTGACATGGATACTTGGAGACTAAATAGGAGGTAAATTGATTGCTGGAGTCACTATAAGAATGGTGGGAAATGCCCTTTGCTTTTCCACTTGAGTATATTATACAGAAATGATGCCATAAGCACTATTTACCCATGAACAACATAGAACCGCATCTCAAGGACATCATGATTAAAGCTATTAATAGGCCATAGTATCACATCAGCAATGGTGTTGAGTCTTTTTAGAACTAAAGATAAAATTTCTTTATGCTAGCCATGGAATTTTGGCTTCACTAATCCCTCTTCTACTTGTGCTAGTCCTGCTATGCCAAGGATCTTCAGGCCAGAGCATCTCAAGTGTCCCATCAGTGCTGCAGCTGCTGCTTCCTATGGCTGAGGCTGAATATTACCAAACCTGTTGATTCTTTTATTGGCCTTTCAGTTAAGCTGCTTTATGTCACATGATTTGCAGCTGCATTACCTATCTCTCCTGTTTTGTAATTTTAAAAGTAGAAGACAAACAGTTAACTAGATTATTCTCCATTTTAACCGTGCCTTGGTAGTAGACTTGGAAGACATCAACTGGTCCCACTCGGGGTACAGAATCTACTCATCCATGTGAAAGAGCTTGACTGGTACCTTTTGTTTTGTTTTTGTTTGCTTTTGGGTTTTCAACACAGGGTTTCTCTTTGTAACCTTGGCTACCCTGAAACTAGCTCTGTAGACCAGGTTGACCTTGCCTGCCTCTTCCTCCTGAGTGCTAGGATTAATGGTGTGCACCATTACAACCTGTTACCACTTAGATAAAAAGTCAGTTTATCAGCTTTCATTGAGGCTAGCCATTCCAGGAGGATGATGATGAAGAGGAGGAGGAGCAGAAGGGAGAGGAGGAAGGAGAGGAGGAAGATGAGGGAAAGGAGGAGGATGAGGAGAAGGGAGAAAGAGAGGGGAAAGGGTTAAAAATCTCATTTATAAAAATTTCAAATTCTTTGTTTATAACTTAATATTTATCCTCATTTTCTTTGAGGTTTTTCTTTAATTTAAAATGTCTTTAATGGTTTTTAATCAAAGAACAATATTTACGCATACCACATTATTTTTGGCAAAATGAAATTACTGTGGATGGTAGTCACTCTGAAAACCCTTTAATTTTTAGGTACAGGTTCTATTTTTCTTTCCTGTATGGGTTACTGGGAATGATTTTTAAATGACAGAGCTCTGCATTTAAAAACTACACGGTAGCCTTTATAGACTATTGCGCTATGTTATCCATACTCACTGTGGTATCTGTCTTGACCTTGTGAGCTCTGGTGCCTTCTCTGCTGAGCTGACGCCAGGGCTCTGCTCATCCTCTCAACACACAGTGCTGTGTTTCCCGGTGATTTCACTTTCACAGAGTAAAAACAATGGTTACTGCTAATGCGTTCTTTCCTATATCCTGGACACCACTCAGACATTTGTGCGGAATCCAATTCAAGCCTGAGAGCAGTTCTTTGCAGGGTGTTGCCTTTTCATTGGCACTTACACACAAGGAGGCTCTAGGGCACAGATACCCATGACTTGTCTGTCTATAGTGAAGCTCTATTAATAGGAACAACTCCCGTATTAAACCTCGATTCCAGATCTGAGTTCCAACCAGAGCGCTCACTTTTCAGACAATACTACTGAGGCAAAATTACATGTCAGTTCTGCCAGGTGCCACCCTACGTAACTTATCATTAAGAAGTATTAGTAACACTGCATTAAGTTTTAAATAAATGTTCTT